AATCAGGTTAGAGGGGATTGGAGGAAGCCTTTTCCCAAAGCAGGGTGGTAGAAGTATGGGATGCACCACCAATTAAGCAGCATCTTGCCAAGTACTTAATGCCAGGCCATAGCAGGCTGTGGACCAAGTGCAGGTAAATGGGATTAATGTTGTTTGGTGGGTCAGCGTAGACATGGGCCAGAGGGCTCGTTTCTAGGATTTCTTGCATTTAAAAGTCAGCAAACAGGGAAGCCAAACAGAAGTAGTTGTCACTTTCCTTCAGGATGTGAAATTCTCATTGCTGATGACTTGAAACCACACCATGAGCAGTCATTTCTCCACCACCTCCCCACCATCCCAACTCCAACCTTCACATCCTGGAGGAGGACTCGGCCTCCACGCTGATTCTGGAATTTCAGCAGCTTCTCTGCATGTTCCTGCTTCTCCTGGGACTGATCTTTGAAGAACTGGGAGATGTTGGGGAGAGCAACATCGTCCCGGTCAAAGTAGGACATCTGGAAGAGAACAATTTACATCCCATTAACACATCACTGGCCCCAGTTGTATTTCTCAGAATTAGACAGCTGGTTTAGTCTTCTAAAGCAAACTGATGATTCAATCAGCTAAGCTTTGATACATAAAAATGTTTGAGGACCCAGTGTTGTTCATTAGCCAGCAGATCCTTTAACTGGATCAATCTGAACAAACCCAGCTTCTTCTAGATAAGATGCAAATTCAATGCGTTTTTGTTTAAAATACGCAGTGATTTGCTCGGGGGTGGGTTCTGGAACAGCATTTGGACAGAAAATCTGAATTCATGTTTCCACTGTCTAACCTCTATCAGAATTGAGTGAAGTTACTGATAGAGTAGGGTTTAAACCAAGTGCCAGGAGGTAGAGTGCAGGATGTACTCAGGGCAGGGCAGCTGCAAGGCACTACATTTTCCCTTTGGGGTAAAAGTCATAAACAGATGTTGGGCACTGCTGAAACAATATAACTAGGAGGGAGCAAGTCTTCTGCAACCTCAAGATCACTGGAATTGGATGTTCTATATATTTTAAGCTCTACAAGATACGCTTTCTGCAGTATGGAGAAGAGAAAGTGGCACCAAGATTCTGCTAAGGAAAGCCTGCCTAGTAACAGCCTTTGGATTGTTACAGCAATAGTTTATTACACACTTGTTTATGTAGTACACTCACGTCCAGAAGCTTACAAACAAGCATCATTGATTAAGTGAAATCCAACCAAGGTCATATATTGGAGACCTAATGGTTGATCTACAAGTCACATTGCCCTGCAGATCATATCACTCATTAACAGTAATCTGGACAACTTGATTTGGCTTATTTAAAGAGACAAAATACTGTAGTTTTTCCCCCACTCACTTCTAAACTGACATTCACAATTCAACAGGTTATTGTTGATGAAGGGCTACAACTCCTAGTCTATGGCTGCCTCTTCAAAAGAAGATGGTGAATTTTGCTTTTCATGAGTCAACCTGGTGAAAAGTTATTTTAATCCTCAAAATACAAAAACAGTCAAGCAAAAAGAAAAAAAAAAGTGTATGGTTTAGTTGGGTAGTTACAAGTTGTCATCAATGTAGATGAGTGGGGATTTAATTAGTGCACACATGATTCCCAATAGAGTTGGGACACTGGTCAGTGATGAAAACACAACTGGTTCACCAATGAAAGCTATTCCCACCTCCCAAAACATAGCTTGTAGGGATCTCATCCTCATGAGATGAGAGAGACAACTTCCTTCTAAACAGACAAGCCTAGAGTGTGATGAATATTCTCCATGTATTTGGAGAAGTGAAGTGGAGCTACAACACGCAAGAAGCAGACACTATCCAGGACAGAGCAGTCCACTTCATGGGGACTGCATTCACCACCTCCTTTCAGTGTCTATTATCTACCAGGTTCCCTGCAGCACTCACCAAGGTTACTTCAACACACCTTCCAAACACAATCTACCCCTTGGAACAGTAGAGGTACACCACCACCTGGGTAAAGGAGACATTTTGTTTCAGACTAAGAAAAATGGTATGGGAACAACCTCCATTTCTTCACTGTCACTGGGCCAATAACCTCAGCACATTCCAGCAGCCCCAGGGTCTCACTTCACACACACCACAGATCAACTTTCTGTAGGTTGATAAGGGAGAGGCCACACCCACTTCCTGAAGGAGGGCAAAAAGCCAAATAGGCCTCTAGTGATGCCTACTTGAGCAGCTGCCAATCACAGCCAAACCTTGAAGGCTTGGTTAATCAGATTTGGTTGTTCTGAAGCAATCACCATAATACCTTATTGCAAGACCAAATCAGCATATTCACTTACATGCATCACAAAATAAAGCAGATACAACAAGACAAATTAAAAACAGAAGAAGATAGTTAACTAATCATTATCTTAATTTCTTTCTAAGTACTATCAAGTTTTGACAATCCTGGAGAGACAGAGAGAGAATGACAATTACTACCAGTCACAAGCCTGTAAATTAGTTGTAAGATAAGTCACAAAACACCTCACTCTCCATATAGCATGAAAGACCAACTGGGGCCTCAGATGTTGTACATCAGTATCCTACCCCATTAATATGATAACATCACATTTAGCCTGAATTGTGAAATAGGTAAGAGATACAAAAGAATCTACAAGAATAACAAGTTAGTTAGGAAAAAGAGAAACTACATAACAGATTTAACTTCAACCCCACAGAGACAACACTCACCAAAGACTGATAGAGATAGGAGGCAGTGAGCTCCACATTAATCTGTTTGTTGACAGCAGCTTCACAATCCTGGTGATAGTTTTGACTAATCTGGGAGGCCATTTTGTGATGAAAAGTGCTTTCCTTTTCCTCCACAATCAAATGAGAAATTTAAAAAGAGTATCAACTACACCTAAAACAACACAGCCTTTAGACTTTATTTATACTCCAGGAGCAGCCCCTCATTTTATGAAGCAGGAAATGACATAATCAGTGATGGCCAATCACTCTTGTTAATCAAGTGATCAGCTGCCATGTCCAATCAGTGCAGGATGGGAATTGGATCCAGAAACTGATCACAATTGATAACTGATCGATGATGGAATTGCTGATTGATCTTTGACCTCCTGCACAAGTGCAAGTTCTGTAAGTATTTCTACCTGAAAATAACCATAAAATATCCTCTAAAACTTCACTTTTGTATCTGAGGTTATATATTAAGACACGCTCATCACAGATTTGCAGAATTCTGTCAGTTTGTTACTCTGAGGGATTTGTGTTTGTATGTTTTGAATGACAAGAGTTGGAGCCCATTGAAAAATGGCTAGATTTTATTGACAGAAAACATTTTCCTATTGCTATACAGCAACAGAAATAATGTGCTTTTGGACTACTTAATGGTGGCAACTGATGTACTTTGTAAACCCATTCTGAAGCTGCCGGGATCCCGTTGGCTATGGACCTCAGGGAGCCCAGTTTGAAAATCAAAACATGAAATGTGCTGTGTGTCTCAGACACTCAGTAGGCCTCAGGCATCTAT